AGTTGATTGGCGGTGTTGAGCGATTAATAGAGAGGAATCAAGTTGTGTTGGTACCAATAAGCGATCCTGCTATCCTTCGAAATATTTGAATACAATTGCTTCCAGCGTTGAGGTGTTGAAAAATCGCCCGAAAACATGTTGCGCAAGGTATATGTTGATGACATTTACGCCATCAAATCTATCTGCGAGAATGTACTTCGAAGAATTACAAGACTCAAAGAGCAGTATGAGCCGAAGATATGGCGTGGCGGTGAGGGTCTTGGATGTCCCTCGAGGCGAAAAGGGTCCGCATGTTGAGAACGCCCGGCATAACAACCGTTTCTGTTCTTTCCAGCAGCAGCAGACGGTGTACGCTGGTGTAGCGACGGGGGAGGAACAACTGTGTAAGAAATGCCAAGCCAACAATCNGGGCCCACGGGTTCGGGAACGCCGCCATCCGGTGGCCGCCCTCCGTACATTTACGGCAAATACTACATGCACACGTCAGGTGCGATTGGTAAAGATCACGATGGTTGGCTTAGCATTTCTTACATAGTTCCTCCGCCGTCGCTACACCAGGGTTCGCCATCTGCTGCTGTTCGATGGCGACCTTGCGCTGGTTGCGCACTTGTACCAACATTTGGTTTTGACTGTGGGACATGCCGGGCGGTGGGTCCTCCTCTGGCTACTCGCCCTCGTCCTACCCCAATCATGCGATCTGATTGAAATGCTACTGCTGCTCGGACGGAGGCTAACGCACTCGCCACTGGGACATCTCCTACGGTGCCAGATGTAGCACGCGACAACACTATGTGAGAGCTCGTACAGAGAGCGAAAGTGTGGCTTGTCGTTCGGGACCGGGAATTTGGACGGGGAGTAAGTCTACGTGCCACGGTCACGGTTTGTGCGCCCTCGCCATCATCTGAGAACGCATATCCTTTGTTTTCAGTACTCGTTTGGTCTCAGGTCGGGCGAAGGACGTATCTACGCGCCACCGGGACTCACTCCGCCACTCCAGGGTTGAAACCAGCAACTTCTTTCAAATGTTGACGCTTATGATGCATGATTTCCGACAAAAACACGGTGAGCGATGTCCTATCAACTACCTGAACCAAAAGTAGCAGCACCAGCTGAGATAGCCTTGGGATCTTCCCTGCTGCCAGTTCCATCTGCGCGTCTACACAACACTACCACAATTCGAACGTGAACGTACACCCGTACAGATGAAAAAGACCTGCAGAGGCCCAACTCCAATATTGGTACATACCCCTTGTTACACTCCAGACAAGAAAACCGAGCCAGAGACAACTGAATTGCGAGATAGCCCTGTCGGCGGGCTCTGGTCTAGTTGACAAAATCTGACCCTCGCCGATAGCGGTCGTACCTCCGGCATTTCGACACGCTCTTGCCCCCTTACACTGCCATGTACACGCCCACCCAACGTTGGGCATGTTGTGACCACCTTGAATTGGCAATACTCCCTCTGTCACACTGCTTCCTATCCCACTTCTATCGTTGAGACCTCTGTCCTTCCTTCTCACCCCGGGCCCGCGAACTGATACAGATATCAGAACCTCAAACCTTGAAGCACAAACACACCAACCATCCCCGCCTCCACGCCTGCTTTCGATTTTCTTCCGAGCCGAAAGCCCGATGTGCGGTGCAAATATGTCTTGAAAACCTGGCCCTTGACTTCCATTGGTGACGTGCACAATAATCCCTTGTTGATGTAGGAGAAGTTGGCCCTACATCGACCCAGAGTTTGTCGCTTTCGTCGAGGAACGCTTCGCTCGTGTGGATGCCACGTTTTGTGTCATGCCCGGAGCTCGGCGACGTTTCTGCGAACAAGAGATGGTCCAAGGCAGCGTCGAGGAACCGTGAGAGGCAGGTCACATGCGAAATAGGAGTAATGCAGAAGTAATCACAACACCATTGTCATGGAGCCCACCGCAGTGGTGTCGCCATACCCACTGCTCAAGGGTCTACCACGCGAGTTGCGTGCCGGACGTTGTTCACCGACTCATCGCGACCGGGTTGTTCGGGAAGGTTACTAGCTGGCCGGAGAGATTCACGTCACAGTCGTTACCCGTAGCTTTGCCCCTGTGGTGCAACGACCGGATGTCGCCAGGGGAAGAACTTGGCGAGAATAAAAATGTGAGGCCAACCAGGTTGTCACACACAGACAATCCTGCCCTGCTAGATCTTTGTGGAAATGTCGATTCCTCAACCCTTCCTTGCTGCTTACCTAAATGTCTCTCACCAACCAGCCATTGTACATTCTACCCCAACGAGCATCCATGAACGATCCCGGAGGGCGTGCGTACTCATGCACTCATGCATTCATTCCGTAAGTCTTGTGGACTGCTGACCACGTATCCGGCTTAAGAACCTTTTACGTACGCCTCTGGGCCTTCGATATTTCTCTGCCTCTACTATGTTCACACGAGATATTCTTGCCAGTTTTTTGCATTTTAGAGTAAAACGTGGTGGCCGGGCTTACCTTGATCAAGCAACCAGGTGGACGACCAATCTAGATGGCTTGGTACACCGACATGGTGTAGGGGCCACCGCACATTTCGTCCGAGTTTCCCGTACAGGGCATGTCGCAGACGCCGAAACCATTGGCAGCGTAGTCGGCGTTGTCGCCGCACCAGCACTGTTTCATGCAGCAGCATCAACACCCAAGGGGGGGCATGAACGTGCGGCGGGAACGGGTCTCCAAATGGCATGCTTGAGGTTGGATGCTTCATCAAACCAGGTGAAACTGGTGAGCTCGGCAGAGGTGCCGGTGTCAGGGAAAAATCTAGGGCAACCAGTGGGGCAAGAACACCGCAGGTCGCCGCTACATGGTGGAGATCGATGCACGAACGCGACCCGTTCCGCTCAAGGATTCCGCAGACCGCGACAGTCAAGTCAAGGCTCTCTTCGTAAATAGTTATGGGTCGTTTGTGCGATCAGTCATCATTCTTAAGCAGAGACACATAGCCCATCAATGTCACTTCCAAGTCTGTTGCACACATATCATGGGTGACATGAGGAACAAGCAAGGGACGAAAACCAACACAGCGGCGGTCCCAGAGAGCTAGGCACCTCTCGCTGGCCCAGAGAAGCCAAGGTACGATGGTTGAAGCCACCACAAGTAAGTGTTCTCACCAAATGAGCAGATACGTATGACCCGGCACGCGTATCATGCATTTGGTATTCATCGAGACGATGGACAATCAACTATGACATCTGGAATCACTGCGAGACACGTGGAACAGATTCACGCTGGCGGCCATGGTCATCCCAAAGCGCCCGCAACGGCTTCCAATTGTCGCTCTTCTCGCACAACACTGGCCTACAGAGCACGACTGACACCCTTTGGACACGACCACAAGACGTCATACCTCTTGAGAGTACTGGGTTCCGTAGTAGGCTGAGCCGCTGCAGCGCGAGGCGCAGGCCTGTCGTTAGGCCATGCACGTGTGCGCACGAGCAACGGTCGACGGTCAAGGGGGCGGGGGAGATGTACTCTAGTGAGGACCCAAAAGAAACACTACGGTGGGGGGGGGGTCACCTCATGTATATGACACTTTTGAGTAGGGAGACACCCTCCACGTGAACCTGTCGGCCGCGTCCTGTTTCACCGAAACAGGACTTTTTATACACATTTTCTACCAAGGGTGCAACATTTCGCCCCCAATGTTCACCCCCGTACCGTTACATCAGTACCAATCGAAAGTGAGACACATGGACGGGGGGGGGTGTTCGTAACGAGTTGGGTTACGAAATGGCGACAATGGTTGATGTTTTCCTGTGCAAGAACCAGAACCAACATCAATACTCCAACACACAAATTGCGAAGCGCGATGCTCGTGTTAAAAGGGATGATTTTAGATTCAGGCAATCCAACGTCGTTGATCGGTTAACGGCTCGCCTCTGCGGTCATAGCGGTGTTGGAACTCTCCCACACGAACATGCGGCCGTCGGCGGGGTCCGAAAAGCACCCAAGGTACGCCGGGTCCTGGGCGTATACGTCCATGCTGTAGGAACCCCCACAGGATTCTTCGGAGTTGCCCGAGCAGGGCATGTCGCACACGCCGACGCCATTGACGGAGTATTGGGCGTTGATGTCACCGCACCAGCACTGTTGTCGAAGGGATGGAACAGTGGGGGGTACACAGTGGTATCAACGTAGACATTGACGAAACTGAGGGAGGGACACAGTATATAGGTGGGTGCAAAGCTGACGGTGGTGTCAGGTCATATATGCCACACGAGAACTGGAGGCAAAAGAAACGAACAACACAGAACCACCATCGGCTCGAGGAGGAACATTCTCCAATTTAAGTACCGCGATTCCCCGTCAAGAGAACACCATGGGCATACCCACATCGTTGTGCGGATAAACGTCCAGGCGAATCTCAGAGGCACGTAAGGAGGCAATGCCTGTACAAAAACAACATAACCCGAGGGCGGCAAGTGTTGTTTCTACGAATCGTCTGGCCGGGGCACCACACCCGGACACGTAGTCACTTTGCACCGAACCCCTCCCGTTGGAACTCACGACGTTGGGCCAAGCCATCTCAACTACGACACAGCAAGCAAGAAGGGCGACTGGGAAAGGGTCGCCCTATCTCAGGATTGCGCTGGTACGCTCGGGGCTGGCTTTTATGGTGCCGTCTCTCGATGACTTGTCACGTGTTTGTTCAAACCGCCTGTGCAGCCTTTCCATTTTGCCTGCAAGCTTCGACAGCGGCAGTATTTTCGATCCATTGGAATATACAGAGAGTCTAGTGGTGCCGTGCGGCATTTTGACGGTTTTACGGCAGCGCAACTCGCGTCTTTGTCGGCGAGAACGCCAAGGTGGTGCCCGCGTTCAACCTTTTGGTTTGGGAAAAGAGCAGCAAACAAGGTCCTCACCTCCCTCGAGTACTGCGTTCCGTAGAAGGCCGATTCGTCGCATTGCGCCGCGCAGACCTGCGGTCGTTTGGGTAACGGTGAGTGTCCAAAAGATCGATCATCAGGACGAGGGGAAAGAAGCAGTGAGTAGGGGCGCATGAGCTGAGAGCGACAAAGTAGGTGCGCCGGGTGCAGCGATGGTGAGTTGGCTTTCGGAACGCTTTTTCCGGTGGAGCCTGAGACATTTTGACGGGCGATGGCAATACGACGTCGGCATCGGAGAACATCGTCGTTCAGCGCACCGACCAAGCGGAGGCTCCAACCCAACTTCTCAGAACCCTCTCAGGTACCTAACAAGGCCCTGAATTGGCTCAGAAGAGCAACGTGCCATCAAGGAAGGGATGATGAAACACGAAAGGCAGCAGGACCAGCCCACAGCTGGCTGCCACCTGCCAGTGTGGCGTTTCCCAACCTAACACGGCTCACAATGCTGACGTCGTTTGGCTCCACGCGTCCAGGAAACCCTCATCCGACGAAAACGAAAATCTTACAAAACTTTAGTCAATACAGTCTATGCACGCCTCTGTTGCCCTCTCACTCACCTCTGCGGTCATCTCGTCAGAGGAATCGTCCTGCACGAAAACACGGTTGGTGCCTGGGTCGGAGTAGCAGCCACGGTACGCGGGGTCCACAGGGATTTCCACTTCGTTCTGGTAGACACTCATACTGTAGGAGCCTCCACACGTCTCACTGGCGTCGCCCGCGCAGGGCATCACGCACTCGTTGCTGGCACCGTTCGCATCATAGTCGGCGTTCTCGTCACCGCACCAGCACTTCGTTCACGAGTATCCAGAAAAGGGGGGTAGGGGAGCGCNAGCCGGAGACTCCACACGTCTCACTGGCGTCGCCCGCGCAGGGCGTCCCCACATAGTCGGAGAGCTCGTCAACGCACCAGCACTTCGTTCACGAGTATCCAGAAAAGGGGGGTAGGGGAGCGCAGTGAACGAGAGGGCGAGGGTTTCGTCGTGACATCGTCGCATACACGAGACGTAGTTGGCAACACGATAGCTTGAACTACGTGCGTCGGTGGGCGTGACGTGAGGCCAAGGCCGTCAACGTGTATTAGCAAAACCTGAGGCAGGAGGATCTCGCCTGCAATCTACATGTNGGAGCGCAGTGAACGAGAGGGCGAGGGTTTCGTCGTGACGTCGTGGCATACACGAGACGTAGTTGGCAACACGATAGCTTGAACTACGTGCGTCGGTGGGCGTGACGTGAGGCCAAGGCCGTCAACGTGTATTAGCAAAACCTGAGGCAGGAGGATCTCGCCTGTAATCTACATGTAATAGCAGGCCTCAAATGAGTTCAGGCGAGATCATCTGAAGCATCAGCGAGCGTCCAGTAACAACCTATGCGATACCCCGAACAAGCAGCATTGTTCGTTTCTCCAGGAACCGCCGATCCAGCACGTTCCCCAATGGAGCATCACAACAAGGCAACGGCCGAGAATGAATATGGAAGGCCCACCCAAACGCGTAAGATGTTTTTCCGATACCATGTTGGAGTCATGTTCCGACGCTCGATCCACACCACTTCTGTTGCGCGTGTATGCTAGGAGTCTCACCTCTACCGAATACTGAATTCCGTAGTACGGGGACCCGCTGCAGTATTCCAAACAGAGCTGTGGTTGTTCGGGTACAAGTAGGGGGGACTCAATGGTCAGTCCAAGGAAGCGAGAGGAGCGAACAACGGGCGACGTGGATTTGTGCGGGGGAAGTGGCGGTGGGGTGTTGGTCCAATGATGATGTTGATAGCTGGTTTCAACGGCTGTGCAAGGGCAACCACAAATCAGCCAATAGTACCACGCAGAGTACAAGTTTTGAGTCACCGACAAAAAGCATTAGCAGCTCAACCCAAGCCAGCAGACGTAGCCAACCGGCTCACCGCCTTGGTCATGTCGTCAGAGGTAGCCGCCAGCCAGAAAATGCGGTCGTCGGTCGGGATGTAGTAGCATCCAAGGTAGTCGGTGTCATTGTATACTTCGTGTTGGCGAATGGACATGGCGTCAAACCCCCCGCAGAACTCGCCGTCGGTGGATCCACCACACTCATAGTCGCAGACGGCAAGACCATTTTGCGCATAGTCCGCCGTGCCCTCATCGCACCAGCACTGTTACCAGGATACAAACAGGAGCACAGCCAAGGAACGGGCGAGAGCATTTATTTTTCAACAAGAGATGAGCCGTTTTCTGGGCGTGATTAATGGAGGGCAGAGTTCGATAGACTGATGAGCCAACGTCCACNGTTTTGAACAAGAGATTAGCCGTTTTCTGGGCGTGATAAGTGGAGGGCGGAGTTTGATAGACTGATGAGCCAACGTCCACAAGCGCGGCAGGGTTCGAGGAAAGCTTCGTGATGCCGCGCGCACCAGGATCGTATAGGTGCCTGTACTACAGTACATCTGTGTGCAAGTAGTCTGCAACAGCGAAAGCAATCCTGCCATGTTTCTGTTTCGGTCTGGCACGCTGTTCCCTCTCTGACTGAAGCCAGTGTAAACTTGGAACCCGATCATGAAGCAATGGCTTGTCCGTCCGCAAGCATGTCCATATCCTCGGGGTGTATGTGCTACGGAGGAGGTTTCCTTTTAAACGAGCGTACATAGTCAAACGAGACAGAGCCTCAGTCTTCACTCGGAACGGGCAGGTCTAATGACGCCTCCGAGGGCTCCTGACTTGAATGGCGAAGTCGCAGCCTGTGACGACCCACGGGCGTCTCGCTCACACAATTCTCGCCAGAGGAAGGAAAACGCTCATCTCACCTCGGTTCCATACTGCGTCCCGTAATACGCATAATTGGCGCAGAGGCCTTCGCAGACCTGCAGCGTGGAATACAGCCGGACGTCAAGTGGCGCATCGATNCAGACCTGCAGCGTGGAATACAGCCGGACGTCAAGTGGGGCATCGATTGGAAGTATTTGTCCATCATCCGTGGCGCACAGGTCAATTCGAAAATGTAGGTTGACGACTCATGCAATTCGTGTTGTGCTGAGATGTTGACGTCATAGAACACCCCGTACGTAGCTGCTAGCGTTGAAGGGCGACGGATTGACAAACCTCGTTTGTTGGATAAACAAACCCACCACTTGTTACAATAAATAGCGGTTTAGAAGAGAGCAACTCGATCCGGCTGCTCGTAACGATGGAGCTCGTCGATCATTCTTCTATCCCCGTCGACGACCGCAGCACGCGACGCCATCGGAATTTCCTCGCCTCATTATTGGTCATTCTGTCGGATGGGCTGGCGAGGTCGAGAGCTGCTTACCCTTTTGGAGTCCCTAATGTAGTCTTCGGCTCTTCACGCCCCAAGTACGGATTGACGCCAATATGCGGCACATCACGGTAGCCTCAGGGAGTAAGGAAAATGTACACAATGCACAATGACGGACCCCGAACCCAACTACTGGGCGCGTTGTACGACGATCAGTCTCTAGCCTGCTGCACACATGNGCTGATGTAGTCTTCGGCTCTTCACGTCCCAAGTGCGGATTGACACGAATATGCGGCACATCACGGTAGCCTCAGGGAGTAAGGAAAATGTACACAATGCACAATGACGAACCCCGAACCCAACTACTGGGCGCGTTGTACGACGATCAGTCTCTAGCCTGCTGCACACATGTGCCGGTCGCTCACCGCAGTAGTCATGTCGTCCGATGTGTCGATCAGGATGGGAAACAGCCGCGATTCCGCCGAGTGGGGATCGCTCCAGCACCCAAGGTAGTCGGGGTCGTTCGAGTAGACGGAGNAACTGGGCGCGTTGTACGACGAGCAGTCTCTAGCCTGCTGCAAACATGTGCTGGTCGCTCACCGCAGTAGTCATGTCGTCCGATGTGTCGATCAGGATGGGAAACAGCCGCGACAAGGCGTGATGCTGTGCGATCACTGAGTCCGGTAGAAGATGAAACCACAATCACTGTTAATAATTACCTCCCTCGTGTAGCACTTTAGGAGATCAAGCAACAAACCATCAGTCAAAATATTGTACACCGGGGACCTGCCAATCCTTTTGGCCTCGCAGGTTGTCCTTGTTCCGTGGCACAAAGAAGGCATGATGCCCCAAGGCTCGACTATGCATTTTTTGGTCCCGCAACCTCCATCCCCGAATCACTGAACCGTCTTTCACTATTTTCCGCGATCACGATGCCGTTCGTCGCCTTCTCTGTTGATCGGCACATGGTAATGATCCCTTTGTTTTCAAATTGAATATTCTTACCTCTGTCGAATACTGGGTCCCATAGAAGTCCGACCCAGAGCAGAGCTCCGAACACACCTGGGGTCGAAGTATTGCATGAATGCGTGCAAAGCCGTCGATGGTCAGTGTTAGGGGGCGCGTGAAGGAATGGTGGGCACGTCCGCGGAAACCGCCATGGCCGCACTGGATGTGTCATTAGGCTTCGGGGGTCACAAAGCTACTTTGAAAGCGTGGATGACACCTGTGTGATTCCCTGACGACATGAGCAGCACCGACTGCCGTGAGCAGGTCAACAAGAATATGCTTCAACTCGCACGCAGACCCCCATTTTGTTTGTGTATGTACTCGGCAGGATACAGATCTCCGAGATATCCGAGGGGGTACGCATATATGATAGGTTTGGGTATATGCAGACGTGTGTGCAGCAGCAGGTCCTTCTTGCCTGCTGCTCATGCTTGTCACTCGTTAATAACTCGTTAATAGTTAATCAAGGAACTTGAGTCACTCCTTTGTGCAACACGCTCTCGACAAGAGCCCGCGAGCGTGATAACATAGTACACGCGCCGACACCCCAAACACGATATCGTGGAGTCAGCTGACGTCGGTAGGGAAAGGTTCGGGAGGTAGGCACCGGAACACAAGGGCAGCAGCAGCGGGCGGTTTTTGCCCGCGCGCGCCAAGGAGATCCAGGGAACAGGGTTTGGAATACGAGGGCAGCAGCAGCAGGGCGGTTTTTGCCCGCGCGTGCCAAGGAGATCCAGGGTAAGCTTTTGGAATACAAGGACAGCAGCAGCAGGGCGGTTTTTGCAGGCGCGCGTCAAGGAAATCCAGTTACTAGAACAAGAAGCAATTTTAGTTGAGACATGGAAGGCGAGGAGAAAGACAAGAAGCAGAAGAAGGAGTTGGAGCTGGGTCTGGCTGAGGCGAAGGCGGAGATAGCAAAGCTGAAACAGGCCCACAAAGAGGTGGAGGAAGAATGGAAGAAAGAAGCGGCTATGCATAGGGCCACTGCTGCAGATGCGGCGCGTGCAGCTGCAGACGCGGC